GACTCCTCTTTTCACATGGTTATTCTAGACAGGTGGCTTCTCTTTTGCTGATGTCAGTCATGTCTTCTGTTACATCATCACGATTTACATAAATTTCATTAGGTCACATTTAGCCCCAAGTTTCTCCCTAATTAGCCTTATTCTAAGGGTTTACTTTCATCATTTTGGCAGGCTTTTAGGAGGATGGCAATGCTATCTTGGAGCCTACCCATCCAACTGTATCAGAAGAATCTCTAACTAAAACAGAAATTGTTGGAAAAACACAGATGGTGTAGGGCAGCATTGTGGCACAATGTTTAGCACTGCTGCCTCACAGTGCCAGGGGACCCAGGTTTGATTCCAGCCTGTCTATGTGGAGTTTGCACATTCTCCCTGTGTTGCGTGGGCTTCAAGTGGGTGCTATGATTTCCTCCCACAGTCCACAGCAGGTTTGGTGGATTAGCCATGACAACTGTGGGGTTACGGGGATAGGGTGGGTCTGGGTGCGATGTTCTTTGGAGAATCAGACTCGATGGGCCGAATGGCCTCTGTCTGCACAGTAGGGATTCTATGCTCCACAGCATATGGAGAGTCATTTTGAGTATAGTCACCTTTCTTCAGAACACTTCCTGAGTTATTCTTTTTCAGAGAATATCTGATGTTTCCTTACCTTACTGACCCATTCTGAATGCTAATTTATGAATGGGTGGGGAATTGGATGGCAGAAAATCTGATAACCTCTCACCCAGCACACCGACTGTAATAAAGTCTAATTAGTGCAATCTTCAAAGTTCCATACCTGCAACATCCTTTTCAGTGATATAAATCTGTTACAAAGGCTTCTATTGATTTTCTCAAATGCTGAAATTGCTGATTAAATCTTGTACATTCTATCACTAAATTACTTCTGGGGCTTAAAGTATGTGTCGAATGCTTTAATCAATGCATCATACTCCATAGTACTTTCTTCCATGCTTTGGCTCACCAGACCAACATTCATATTGGACAAATAGCAAATAAAAATATGCTGTTTTGATGGCACTGTTCCTTTGTGTCTAAGCCTGATGCAGTTCTATAATGCACTTGCAGAGCTTCCACTGAGGCTTTGTTGTGTGCCTTCTGTGTTGTCAAATGGTTGAAGTGATGGTTAAGGTCTGTATTGGAGCTGCCAGCTTCTGGACTATTGCATTGGACTGACTGGGTGACTGTTTGGGCTTTTCCTTCTTTGTAGTGAACCTTTCCAATTATGTGTTTTCACTCTCCAGAGTATTGTTAGTTAGTGGCTAAACTACAAAGTCTTCCAAGGTTCTTTTTCATGCGATTTGGAGTCTTCCTGCTTTATAGACCTATTCCAAGGTATTATTCCTGCCTCTGGAATCTTCTCCTTTTCCAGCTTTTAATTTATTTGAAGTCTTCTGTGGTCTTGGTCTGCCTTTGAAGTCTTCTCAGCCGGATCTCTGACATTTTTTGACATGCTGTCCTGCCTTAAGTGTCTTTCCTTTTCAGCTGTGTCCTTTCAACTCAATTTAACTTCAGATTCTGGATTTTTTTTTCCCTAGCTGTGACCAAGTTTTATTTTGTGCTTACAACCAACACTAATATCTGTATATAGAAATGCTGGTTTGGAGAATCTCTAGCAACAGTTGTCCATAGGTACATTGACCCTAAAGCTACTTGCTCTTTATTTCTCAGTAAATTTCTTCAATTCTTACATGCTGTAACATTCTTTTATTTATATTTCTACCTAATAAGTTCTCAAATATACCTTTCTAGTTTAGCATCTAAGATTTCTTCATATTTCATTCTCCCAGTTCCTCCATCTCTGTTGCATCTGTTCCGATGATGCCAACTTCGACAAGGGCCTTCCAAAATGTCCACCTTCTTCCTCAACCAAGGTTTCCTCACCACTGTGGTTGACAGCCATGTCCAAACCATTTCCCACTTTTTGGTCCTCACCCCATCTCTGCCCTCCCACAATAGCTGGAGAATCCCCCTCATGCTCACCTACCATCCCACCAGCATTCACATTCAAAAGATCATTAGCTGCCATTTCCGCTGCTTCCAGCTGAATGCCAACAGCAGATACATATTCCCTTCCCTTCACTTGTCAGCCTTCCACAGGGACTGTTTCCTTCAGGGCACCCTTGTCCACTCCTTCTCTCAACATGTCCCCACACCTCCTTCCCATGCAATCATGGAAGGTGTAACACCTACCCATTTACTTCCTGTCTCCTCACTATCCAAGGCCTCAGACACACCTTCCAGGTGAAGCAGCGATTTCCTTGCATTTTACTCAATCTAGTCCATTGCATTTGTTGCTCTTAAAGTGATCTCTTTGACACTGGGGAGACAAAGCATTGACTGGGCAACACTTTGTAGAACATCTACATTCTGTCTGCAAAAATGACCCTGTGCTTCCCTGTTCCAGACTGGTGCCTTCTCACTAATGTCAGAAATGCGACATAGTTATGTTTTACATGAATCTCATTATACCGCATGGGAATCATGCCAATGGTATTCTGGTGAGTACCAGCTGCAGAAACATTCATGGCTCAGAAAGTTGCTCTCTCATGCACAGGAGCTGACAATGTATCTCACACATAGGTGGCACAGAGACCACTGCATAGATGTGTGCTGCTTTCAGTGTATTCATTCTGAACATTAAATGCACCAGATATTTCCCAAGTGGGGACGACACAGACAGAATGTTATTTAAATGTAAATTAACTGAAGGCAGTTGCAAACTAACTTAACTCTATGCCACTGATGTCAACAGCTATCAGCATGGGTTGCTCTCCTGCTCTCCAGTGCAATATTCTTGATATTTTCTGTGATAGAAGAACCTCCAAGGTTTTTCTTACACATGGAAAATGTCGCTGGAATGGAACTCATCATTCTTCCCTGTATTCCCTCTTGTAACTGGCAGGTTAGCGTGATGCAACATGTACTGCCATGATTTCAGAGCAGGGTTTAGTATGGGATTGGAGAAAGTAATGAAGCCATAGAGCAAGGGCAAGGTTCAGGATCAGCCAGTAGGGTGAAATACCTTTTGAAAGTTCACATCTACGTCTTCTATGCTCCATTCATCAACCCTCTCTGTGACTTCAAGAGTTTACGTTTCTCAAATCTTTGTTGACTATTCCTTAGTAACTCATTCTTTAACTCATTTAAGTTTGTCCTTGGAAATGGTCTCTTATGGTTTTCTATCTTTAACATCAAACTGATTGCTCTGTATTTAACAGTTTTATCCCTCTCCAGTCTTTTGAACAGGGATGTAACATTTGCAAGATTTGCAATCTTCCAGACCTTTAGTGCCACTTCCATTGAAAGATTGTAGTAAGTGCTCTGCTATTTTCATCTTTGCTTCCCCCAGAAGCTTAGGATGCATTCTTTCTAGATCATAGAATCCCTACAGTGTGGAAACAGGCCCTTCAGCCCAACAAGTCTGGTCCAGGAGACTTGTTAACATTGAGTGAAGCTGACAATTTCATACCTCCTGGCTATCTATGTTTCTCCTATCCAATACTTCTATTTCCTGTTCCTTTTCTGCAAGGTTAGATTTATCGTCTTGTTTTGTGAAGACAGATACAAATAATTCATTCAGTGTTACAAACATACCCTATATCACCTTAAGTTTTCCATATTGTTTTGTTTTTCTTTTCCTAATTGGCTCCACTATTCATTTAACTATGCCATTTCTTTTTATATGTTAGTACTATATTTTGGCATTCCTTTATATTATACACTGATCTAAGGGGGTTTTAAATTAATTTGTGGTAGTCTCATAACCACCATATTCTAGATTTGCGAATTGAATTAAATTCTGCCAATTCCTATGGTAGGATTTGAATCAATTTTTCAGACCATTAGCCAGGCATCTTGATGATTAATCCAGTGACATTTCCACTACACAACCATCTTTCCCAGAAAATGTGTAATTTCAGATTACTACCTGTTCTACTCATCTCCCATTTCCTTTGCGCTGCTGTATCTTCAGCTGTGTAGTCCTTAAACTCTGGAATACTCTCATAGTAATAAAGCATGGAAACAGATCCTTCAGTCCAACTAGTCCATGGTCCTAACTAAACTAGTCCCACTTGTTTGCATCTGGCCCATATCCCTTCAAACCTTTCCTATTCCTGTACGTATCCAACTCTTCCTAAAGCTTTCACTTTCTCTCTCCTCCTTTATGGTATGCCTCTTTGATAGGCTTTTCGTCACTTATCCTGATCTTTCTTTCCTCTCTTTATTCTCCATATCATGGGATGTGGGCACTTGGTGTACATTCCAAGTTGCCATCAAACTGAGTGGCTTGTTAGACCATTTACTTGCATAAACCATCTGTAGTGCCAGATCAGGTACGGATGACAGATTCCTTTGTGAATTTCACTGCTGAAACAAATGGAGTTTGTTTTTAAATGAAAGTAGATGATTGCTTTATGGCACCATTACTGAGACTAGCTTTCAACTTTGGCTGTCTATTGGGATTTGAACTCATGTCCCCAGAGTATTAGCCTAGGACCTGTAGATTACTAATCCAGTGATATTACCATTATGCCATGTCTCCCCATCACATTTCTCTATGTGGCTTGGTGTCAAATTCTTTGCCTGATGATGGTCACATGACACAGTGGGCCAAATGACCTCCTTCTGTACCCTGGGAATTCTGTGATTCTTCAGCTGATTTGTACTGTTAAATTTACTGTGTAAATGCTGGTTGTTCTTGTATCAATTAATCAAAAACTGCAGTGTTTCACCGGCTAAACAGGGACTAATCAAGAGAGGCAATGCTACAATGTGTGACTGATGTTGAGGAAATCTTCAGTTGTGAAATAGCCACAAACAGAACAGCTGATGCTGCCTATATGTTAGGTTTTATGGTACCTTTAAGCTGTCATTTCTTTCTGTGCAGTCAATTAATAATTTCACAGCACCACCAGTTCTCCGTTTTTCACAACATGCTGCATTTTCTGACATCATCACTCCTGCAAGCTGCGTGCTAAAGCTTGTCTTTTTCACAGCAGGTTCTCTGGGAGATTCCCGAGGTTTCACGGAATCCCGCTGCAGCTCGAGGTTCCCAGGATTTTTTCTGTCTCACTGGCCAGGCTGGCTGATTTAATGGGATTTCTCTGAGTTTAATGAAGGCTGCAGCATCAGGAATTCCCCAATCTCATCGAGTCAGCTCCTTCAAGCAAGCTGAGATGTATTAGCTTCAGCAGTTGATGCAGCAGTGTCGAGTCTGAGTCGGCTGAGCAAATCTTGGGATCTCCCTTCTTGCCAGGAAGTCCCAGCGTCAGGAGTTGCCCCCAGCAACCCCAGGTCGTCGTGGGCTTCCCAGTAATTGTGAGTAAGCTGATTAACTGTAAGTGTGAAACGAGGAGGAAAAGCAGTACAACAGAAAAATATTAAGCTCCTTCCTCCGACACGAGGGAGCTCTAGTGTTATGTGAGCGTTGAATCTTTAATTATAAAATGACAACCATTGCAACGGTGGGGGAAATTAGAAAATTGCAGCAGCTGTTGCTGAGTGTGATCCAACAAAATGGCAGGCATGTCTACCTGTTAGCTTGTTCCCATAACCGAAACTGGGACGTGATGTGGACTCCTGGCATTTTTTTTCAGTAAACAAAATGGTGGGGGTTGAAGAAAATTTGAGACCTGCAACACCCCTCAGGGGGTCTAGAAAAGTGTGTGAGCAGTTTGATCGAATCTAACAGTTCTTTGTGTACTTGTTCAATACCGATGAGAGCTTCCCATACTATTGAACCCCATTGCCCCAATCCTTTGAAAGATCAGCTGACTTTGGATGTTGGTCTTGCACCAATTCCTGTTCAGTCAGGGACTGCATCCTGCTCTGATGGAGCTTGTTAGTCCTGTCTGATTTAAGATACAGTCTGATTTGATGCATGAGTTGCCTAGAAATTTCTAGCTTGTGCATGAAGACCTAGAATGGTTTTGATGCACTTCAGTTCCAGGTTTCATGGACCGAGGGCTGCTGGGAATGAATGCCAGGGAGCGCTGTTAGATGCACCCGAGCTGGGTGATGCTTTCTTTCAGCTCGGCCCTCTGCTGTATCTGGGGAATTTAACCCTATATGCAGGTTACGGTGTGGTGGTGAAGGAGAAGGTACAGATGGGACATGAGTGGATCAGCTGTTAACTACCCCCAAAAGGAAAATTCGATGGGAACAAGAAAGGACTGGTCATCTGATATAGTTTGTTAAATTTCAGTCCCCTGGTGTCCAAATTATTGAATCAATTTCCTTGTCAGAATTCCTGAAAATAAGTTCCTTACCCCCTTTGTTAGCTGCATCTGAACTTCATCCCTACATTGATTAAAAATTGACCGAATTCTGCACCCCTGTTCCCTATCAATTCTCTCCCAGTTATCCAACCCACCCACCCCTGTCTCGGACTCATCCCTACCCCAAACCATACCGACATCTTAACTCTCACTTCTATCCAAATCTCCGTCCCAATCCCTGCATCCCTATTTTAATCCCCTAACCCAGTCTACACTACATCCCATCACAATCTTGAGCCATGTCATGAATCTCACTCCTATTCTGAATCCTGTGCCCATCCTGATGTCTCAACTGATTCTCTCCAATGAGATACATTTGAAATGCAGTCGCTAACACAGTGTTGAAAGCAGCCACTTTTTGTGCACAAACAGATCCCACAAATAGCCACTTAGTATCTTTGCCTTAATGTTTATAGCCTTTCTCACTGCCTTGTGGATATAAGCTCGATCCTTTGGTGCTTTCATTGTTGGGGGTGGCAAAGGACATTGCCCTATGTGAGCAAGGGCACGGTTGCATTTATGGAGCCTGTGTTGGGATGTTGGCCTGTCCCACGAGATTGTGGTGATAATAACAGCAGAGGAACTAATCGGTGAAACATGCCCCCACTGGGATTGTCCTGACACAGCCAGAGACTGGGACAGGCTGTGTTTGGGGATACAGAGAAGGTGGAGCTGAGGTTTTGAGTGGGGTTATGATGTAGGTTGTGATTTCAGGCATTGGAATTATAGGTTTCTGCAGGAGGGCTTTTGTCTGCCTGGATTGGGAACCTCTTTGAAGCTTTTGGGCATCAATAACAACAATATGCCTTCATATAATACCTTTAACACAGAAAAAGGGCTGGCTAACCTTTTTACATGGAGAGGGCACATGTAAATTTTTTTCCTCTTGGGGGCCAGTGTGCAAATTTCACAAAGATGTGAGTTGCCACAACAGTAAACCTGAACTTTGTCAAAAAAAGTCAAAAGTAATAAGTTGATAATTTAAGTGATGAATTAATTGAAATGTCCATTAAAAAGTGCCAAGCAACAAAGCTAAATAGCAAAGCGAATTTTTGTTGGTTTGGTTAAGAAGCAAAACTAGAGAGAGAAAGAACATCAGCCCAAATTCCTGATCACCAGGGAAGGGGAGACAACTGGGGTTGAGTGTAGATTGTAATGTTGACCTACAGTTTCCTCTGGTGGGGAAAACTCCAGCTGGCCTTGGCAGAATTCACATGATACAGTGGAGGACTGCGTGGGATTTCACCTGACAACCTGCTTTTCCTCTCTCCCTCTTCTACACTCTTATCCCTTTCCCTCTTTCGCCCCTTTCTCTCTCTCCCCTCACCCCCACCTTTGCTCCTCCCCTTGGTCTCTTACTGCTCTCATTCTGTCTTACTCTGCCTCCTTTAACTTCGAGAAAATAATCCATGAGGATCTGTGATCAAAACATTTCCATCAGCAATACCATACCAGCAAACATTTTGCATTGAAATAAAATGGCGAAGTTTTGTTTTCTCTGGAGAAATGCAGTTTGTTAAGAGTAGATTTATTTTTAAAAATGAAATAAAGAAATAACTAGAAGACTGACCTAATGGCCTGACTATCCCTCCCTCCCTTGCAATCATGGCCTGACTTGCAGTTCCCCTGCACCATTTGATTCTCAGTGACTTCTCCCCATGGTGTGACTCCCAACTCCTTCCTAAACCAGTGTCTGAAAGCCTCCTAATCCCAGACATGCTTCACAGTCTCACACTACAGCTCCAGACCTCAGGCTGCTCCTCCAATTAGACTGGTTCTCTCTTGCACTCCTGCATTTGTTGCTGATAAGCTCACCAGTAAGCCTGCAGTGTCTCGCAAAATCTTTCACTTATACTTACCTGTATTTGAACATCAGCTGTATGAATGAGCTGTAAATTTGTTGAGCAGTAAAGCAGATGTTGGGCTGTTTAAAATGCTCTGGCAGGCTGTAAGTGGCCATGGTTTAGGCACCCATAGAATAAAATATTTCAAGGCATTTTATGGTAGTGTTAACAAAATATTGATACTGAACCACATAAGGAGATATTTTCACAAGTCGCTAATAGCGTGATTAAATGGGTAAGTATTAAGGTATGCCTTTAAGGAAGAGAGAGGCAGAAACGTTTTGGAGGGAACATCAGAGCTCAAGGCCTACAAAGCTGAAGACACGATGCCAATGGAGTTGTGAAAGAAACTGAGGTGTGCAAGAGGCTGGAAATAAAGAAGCGCTGGAGTCACGGAAGGTTGTAGAGCTGGAAACAGGACTAGAACCTGCTTATAATCAATTATGTTGCTGACTGTTGTTGGAACAGCCTGCATAAAACCATGACATAAAATCCTTTTCCCTGCATTGTTTTTGGTCAACATTAGAATTACCATTTTACAATGGTGTATCTTGACATACAGGAAGAACAGAAGAGTGTTTGGATGAATACACCTAACCTTTAGCAAACATTTCACACAGTGAGATGGGTAATTGTATTTTATAGACTGCTGAGAATATTTGAAGTACTTGCCTGTTATTTTAACCATGAGTGGATAGCAAGAAGATTTCAATTAAAAGTGGCAAAGAGAGAAAATGGCTGTCTGGTGAATAACATGAAGAAAGAACTTGGTATTTACAACACACTATGTATGACCTCAGAATGTCTAAGCATCTCACAACCAGTTTAGGTTATTTTGTAGCATAGTCAATGTTGTCAAGCAGATAACATATGGCAGCTATGACCTCTACACAGTTTTAATTGTCAACCTCTTTACATGGTTATGACACTTCTATTAAATTTGTGGGCAATGTGAGTGTTTACTGTCCATCCCTAATTGCCCAGACAACACTTAAAGGTCAACCATGAAAGTCTGGAATACATCTGGGCCAGACTGGGTAAGGTTTCCTTCTCTAAAAGGTATTAGTGAATCAGATGGATTTTTACAAAAATCAGCAGTGATTATATGGTTGCCATTAAACTCACTTTTGTTAAATTCCAGATTTATGTTGTATTCAAATTTCACTATTTGCCATGGTAGGATTTGAACCAAGTCCCCAGAATATTGTGCTAGGGCTCTGGATTACTAGTACATTATCTCTATGCCATCATCCCCACTCTGTACCCATCATGTCCTAAAATGAGACTTGAACCTGGCCCAGATTTTCTGGCCCAGAGGTAGGGATATTCCCATTTGGTCCCTGTATGCTGGTATTCAGAAACACCTCCATGATAATACAGAGATAGGGCACATACATGGCCAGGGGAGTTCAGAAACTGCTAGGATAACACAGAGACAGGATGGTGTAGATGCTGGGCAAAGAGACAGTGACAGGGCAGCGGAGACATCCCCAGGGCAGCACATGCAGTTCAAGAGCAGTACAGGTCTATAGAGAAACTCCCAACGCAGTATAGACATTTGTGGAGCAATGCAGACACTCACAGAGCAGAATGGTTACCCCTAGCACAGTTCAGACACTCCCAGGACTGTCCAGAGACATGGTAGTACACAAATTCCTTCCCTGAAATATTCTTAGCATATGTTTCTCTACTGCTCTGTGTTTTTTGATTTAATTTTCTGATTGAAATATGCACTCCAAGCCTTAGGCCGTTTGATAGGAGTGCAGCAATAGTCGTTGGGTCTGTGCCAGTGAGTTCTGTATAAAACAATGCTTGTGTAATCAAAAGAAATCCCGGAGGTTGTGTGGGTGTGATTTAATACATGTATTCCTTACTTAATGTACCGGAATTACAGTTTTTAAATCTTGTATTTGGCCTTTGCTGTTAAGCCTTGATTGAGCTGGCAGTGCTCTCATTAACAGGTTATGGCTTCAAGTTCCAATGCACATTGTACTTGCATGGTAGCCCCTCAGAACAAAGATGAAACTTGCTCAGGGCAAGAACCTATGCTTGGAGTTTCTTATCATGAGGCTGTTATACTGCATCTACCACATGGTACTGCTTGACCCAGATATGCCCATTCTTACTGCCTGCTGAAGGCAGACTGGAGGATTTGCAAGTTGATAATCAACCTGTTTGTCTGCATCACAACCACACT